TAAAAAATAATTCAAATACCTCCAAATCAAGTCCTTTTTCTTGTTCTTATATTATGAATTGCCAGTAACAGGAGATCCAGTGTTATCATACAGTATTTTGCTAAATCTGGTGTTCTTTACCAGTGACTGCAGAACTTTATAAAAAGAGTCCTGGGCTTAAGGCCCAAAGAGTTTGGAACCGAAAATGCATATTTTTAAAACTTCACAGATGATTCCAATTCTCACCAACAGTGGAGATTGCCACAGTGACTCTCCTCTAACTGCCTGGATGTGGAACAGAAGGTCAAAGTATTTCAGCCAGTGCTGACCCAGGCCCGACCACACAGAACAAAGACAGCTTGGTCAGAAGCACAGGTGGGCCTCAGAAAGTGACTGCCCTCACATTGCAACTTTACCTCTGGCAGCCACTGCTAATGATCAAAAGTTTGTAACTGCTCTTTGTTTTTTTGAAAGAAATTCTTGTCATAAATGAAATTCCAACTGATCCGCCAAGAAATCCTATCATGTAAGGTTGTATTATTATGGAAGTTATAATTTCCCTTGATACAGGCTAGGAGAACTAAAAGGGGTCACAATCATTGTCTAGCCAAACTTTTTTACCTTCCAGATAGAAAGCAGAGATAAAATAGGAATTTGTCTAAGTCAGAGTTTAGAAAAACCCCAGAATTCCAGTCCCAGTCTGGTGTTATTTGCTGTCCATGCTGCTGCTGGTCACAGATGAGGGAGCAGGGACTCAGGGAGGGAAACGGCTATGTGTGAGTGTGAGAGTGTGTGTGTGAGCATGTGACAATATTGTGAGTGTGTGCATGTATTACTGAGTGAGAGCATATGTGAGTGTGTGAACATGTGTGCATAGGAGTGTGTGTGTATGTGTCAAGCGTAGCGATGGAGGAAAGCAGCTACAACAAAGTGTTCTGACTACTAATTCCCTTTTTACATTTTTATTTATTGTTTTGAGACAGGGTTTTGCTATGTAGTTCAGGCTGGCCTTGAGCTCACTATGGAGCCCAGGCTGGCCTCAAATTCACAGCTTCAGCCTCCTGAGTTCTGGGATTACAGGTGTACACCGCCATGCCCAGGGATTCCCTTCTGTAAACCTCTGTGAAACTTTATCAGGACAAGATGTCTATTTTCCAAATTCTGTAAGACAGTTTTTGCCAATCCTGAGCTAACCCACCCCACCGATAGTGTGGTTAGAGCATGTCAGGATACCCAGGATAACCCAGGACAACCATTAAAATATTAAGAGACTTTGCTTGTAGAAGAGTTATGGAAGTAAAGAAAGAGTCTAGTAGCCACTGATTCATAATACCTTTTAAATGCTAAGACTCATCACAAGACTTAAGCACAGTCACAATTTCTTAAATATTTCACATTTAATATGTTAGTTTGCTGTTTCTCCAGTCTGACCTACAACACTTTTCTTCATAATCTTTTTGGTCTCATCCTTAGTCACCACATAGTTGCCCACTGTGACTGAATCGCAAAGGTCCAGTAGACTGAGTTCTAGAAAGACCATATATAAAGTCCAGCCATGAGTTCAACACTGAATACTACATTATTTTTCAAAACATTAATCATGTCTTTTCCTAGGGCCCAGTACATACTGGTTAGGCAGTAAATGTTGCTCCTCTCATTAAAGTTTCTGTTTCTAATGTTATCTTCAGGACAAACTTACTACTCAGCCTGGTCACTTAAGGCCAGTTATCTAATTGTCACTCAGAATCATTTAGGCTCCCCGCCATAATGAACTTGAGAGTCGTAAGCTATGACCACTCATTCCTGCCCCCTCCTTACCCTCGCAGAGCCATACCTATGCGTCCAACTCCTACTTCAAAATGGGCAAATTCTCTGTGGAACCTTCCAGTATCTCCCTAGGCTTGGCAAAATGTCCTTTCTCCTGCTAATTCCCAAGTACACACGGAGCCTCACAGGCATGCACACACTCACACAGACACAGAAATACACACACACAGACACACACACAAACATGTACACAATCATATAGACACACAGCCACACACAGACATGTACACACAGACATTTACACACAGAAACATGTAGATAAACATTTACAGACATACCTACACAGACACACTCCCAGTTCCACGCAGACATGCAGACACATGAATATGGACCTCACACAGACATACAGGCATATGCACCCTCATACACAAAATTTCTCTCCCATAGTCTCATAGCATCCTGTTTAAGTTCCCATCTCATGGAATTTTATTCATTTAAGGACTTTTTAAAAAATATATTCATTGGTACGTTTTAGGTATACAATATGTTTACATTTATCATTGGGTGCTTGTACCTGTACATGATGTATCTTCGTTCTTATTTTTCCCCATTACCTGTGTGCCTTTCACCCCCTCCACCCTTCTCTATTTACATAGATTTTGTTTCCAATTCTTTCTTTTCTCATAATTTTTCCTTTCCCTTCTTCCCTTTCTCCTTCCCCTCCCGCCACCCCTACACCATTTTCTAGCTCCTCTGCAAAATAAAACAAAGCTCTATTCTGCTACACTGGCCCACACTCGTAGGTGATTACCATGTTTGTGTTGCATGGATGGAGGTTAAAGCACAAATCCTGCTTGCACTCTGCCCTTCCTGGTATAGGAGCAATGGGGTAATCAATCCCATGCCACTCTGGGGAACCGCATGGGCAGTCTCAAACGGTAGATGAGGTGCCTTGAAAGGACATAAAGACCATGGCTCAATCATGTTTTTATTAACAGATAAGACTTTCCAGGGGAATGTCAATTACATCCTCTGATTACCCTATGACAATGGGAAAAAGTAGAGTGAGACACATATCTCAGGCCCTTCTCTCAGTAAGTCATGTCTGCTAGGCACAGCTTCCTTTACTGGGGGTCAGTGAGAAGCTGTGTGAGCAAACCCATGCTTTCTCACATGCCAGCAAGCCATACAAATTCAACACCTTGGCTGCTGAAGGAGACTTGGCCATAGCCTTTGTCTGGGGCAACACAAGTTACCGTAACTGAAGCCTTGAAAGTTTGCATGTGAGATACACTTGACTCAATTAAAATGATCAAACTAAGACACTTTCCCCATGTGGCATCCATGCATATATGTGTATAAATGCACATGCTTACACACACATGCTCTTACTCTTTGTATCTTAGTACTTGTATGATTAAACACACACACAAATTTAGAAAATTGCCCAATAATATATGCTCAGTGGAGTTTAATTAATATTATTATGGTTCTAATGAGACAAATGTTATTAATGAGCTATTTAGCCCCACTGTTCTTATTTCTTCTGTCACTATGACACATCTTGAGACCTATTTGGCCACCCCCATGCTGTAGATGGAATTGAACTGAGCTAGTCCTCCCTGTTATAATACTGCTTCTTTTTTTTTTTGGTACCGGAGATCGAACTCAGGTCCTTGCGCTTGCGCAGCAAGCGGTGAAACCACTGAACTAAATCCTCGGCCCAATACTGCTTCTTTTTACCTGGCACTAAATAATAAATGTATTATGAAGCTAATATCATAGCTGCTCATTTACAGTGATTCCACCCTTCGTTTTCCATGAAGGTGGAGAAAGATAGTATGTTTGTAAAAATCTACTTGAAGACCATGTGTTCTCTGCACTTCTGTGGATTATATCCATATTCTTTTTTAATTTATTCCCTATGTTTGTTCTTGGAATCAGAACACAGTGATAAGATGTTGGAAGAAAATGATTGTAATACATGCTGATGAGATAGAAGTATCACCTATGCATTGCACTCTACTGGAGACAGCAGTCGCACGGAGAATAGTTATGAATGTGCATAATAAACTCAACCTTTGAACTATGTTCAGCATCCAAGATGTGCTTCAACCTTTGAAGAGAAAATAACTAAAGTTTCTTGTTGATGTACCCTATCAGGGTGAGAAGCTCTTCACTAGCACATGCAGAGAACTTGCAGGAGCTAGGTGTGAGAGGACAGGGATGCAGGGTGAGGGGGCAGAGCACTGCTTCTCAGCCTTCACTTTCCTGACCTCTGCCACCACCGCAGCTGACCACAGCCCTTCCTCTTTGTCCCCAATTGTTTTTGGGGTCAAGGTTGTCTTTGCAAATCTGATGTGAGTACAAATTGTGAGTGCTCTTCTCAGCAAAATGCGCACATGCTCACACACACACACACACACACACACACACACACACCTCTGCATATTGATTCATAATTTTTATGGATGTGTTCTTGGGAAGCCTGCCTTTTTACTGCAGTAATTTTTAACATCTTCAGTAAATGAGTTAGAAGTTGACTATAGGTTTTAGCAGTTCATTTCCTTTTTTAAAAAAAAATTGTGCTTAAAATCCTGACTTGTAATCCTCCCACAAGATTTTATGTAGTTCACTTGTTTTGATTTATTGTTATTAGTATTAAAATAAAGAACATTTGCAATTAAAGAAAAGCTTAATTTCTAGGGAATTTTTAATTTCTTTGTTGGTAAAACACAGTGGGCATTTATGTTTATCTTCTTAGAAATACTTTATTATAATTTTATGAGAAAATAAGTAAAAAGATGGTATGTTATACCTATATTGGTTTATGTTAAATAAACAGTAATAACCCACAAAATCTTGATAATAATTCAGACTCCATTCCCAAGATAGATTGTTTAAGAAGAAATAAATGTATACATGTCCATAGCTACTATTGTCACAGAGGAAAAATTTCCAAAATGTAAAGAGAAAGACTTTTAAAATTCACTATTAATGGTTACACAAACAGCAATGATGATGACTCAGCCTATCAATTTCTATATCTATTTCTTATATTTTAAAGTAGGGGCAGAAAATTTCCCAGATAGTTACTATGAGAATTTATTTTTTAAAAATTTGGTAATTACTATAAAAATTACTTTAAAGTCACCTTTTATTTTTAGAGTCAACTCCTGAGAAAAGTATATTATATTCAAAATTTATCATCTTATTTTTTCCTTTGAGACCAAGCATCACACACCAAGAACATCTAAGTTTATAATAATTTATTATAAGGTTGCATATCACTTGCCATGTATAATAAATTATAGAAACCATAGCATCTTTATAAACTTTATCATATTCACTTCCTAATGCTTATTACAATAATTGTAAGAAATATAATTAGATTATATCAGCATTAGTCAGAAGATAAAAAATTATAAATTTTTTTCACAGTACTTCAGACTTATAAAGAACAGCATTATTTTAGGTTTGAGCAATGATTTGAAAATTATAAAAACCCCTTTACAACAAGCCAGGATTTGGCGTTAGGTTTACTGAGCTGCAGAAGACACCACAGTTCTTTCCATTTGCACTTATCACCTATGCAGTGCACTTTAGGCAATGTAGTAAGTGCAAATACATAATCAATAACTGATTCCTAAAAATCTACACCAATAGATAACATTGAGGCTTGACCATAGTTTACATTCAGATAAAAAAAATTCAGTAAACAATTTATGCTTAGTATTCTCTCGCTGTTCTCCCTCTTCCCTCTGCCTGTCTACCTGGTTTGGTTTTAAAAACAAAACAAAACAACAACCAAAAAAAAAAGGAGAAGGAGAAAAAGACAAAGAAGAAAGCAGTTCTTTTGAGTGTGAGTCCCAGGGCCTGAGGGCGACCCCGCACATGTGTCTTCCCAGCACCTGCAGTCTTGGGTCTTGCAACCTGGCCAGCCTCCTCCACCAGCACTAGTCCTTGCCAGCAGGGAGAGTTCTCAGATCCTTGCTGAGACCACTTTGTTCACCACTGTGACCACATGAGGCTGAAAGTGGCCTATCAGTTCTGCCCCTGTCCACCTCAGAGTTCTGACAGGACAGAAGCTTACAGGGCAGCCACAGAACGCTGCCTCTCTCAGCGTCTCAAAAGCTCACTGAGTCTTTCAGGTTCATTCTTGGATGAAGACCTCATCTGTCCTGTTGTCCTCAGTGAACTTTGATGGAATATTTCCTTAGCTTCAGAAACTGGAAAAGCTTGTCCTTCGTCCTCTTCTTCAGGGCCATCAGGGCTCGGGTTTTCTCCTCCAAATCTTGATCTATGGCAAAGATGATCTTGGCTCTCTCCTCTGCTTTCTTGTCTCCAGAGTTTTTGAAGAGCCTTTGTAGCGATTCTTGGTCTATGTTCTCAAAGATGTTGCCCACAGCTTTCTTACGAGAGGCTGTGTCGAAGTGGTAGCCGTGGATGGACGGGCTGACTCGCAGCGACATGGACATGACGGCTTGCTGGCTTCCCTTTGCTCTCATCGAAGTGGGAATCTCCGGGAATTCAGCTCCTGACTCTCCAGAGAGTCTGTTGCAAAATCATTCCAGCACTGCTATTTAAAGTGTGAACAAAAGCTCCCGGCTCAGATTACACTGGTGACATCAGAGTGATCTCAAGGAAGAACAGTCACAGAGAGCTTTAACAGTTGAGTTGCCAATATCTTGTTCTTGGGTAGAACGCTGCTGGAAGCTGTTTTCAGTGATCACAGCCAAGGCTGTTGGTATTTCTTTTTACATCCTACCTAGCTAGAGGATTACACAAACTTGAGCCAATTTAAAAAGAGTGAAACCTGGAAAGTATAAAGATAAGATACCAGCAAGGTAACTGATTCTTTCAAAACCTTTCCAAACAACAAATGAAACAAGAAGATCTGCCAACCTTGGATAAGTTTCAATTACCGAAGAAGCTGGGAAAGTGCAGTCCACACATTTGACAGCTCACACTGTGCCCTTTGGAATCCCCAACAGCAAAGCTACTGAGAAAAAGCATAATGATCCACCAAAGCAATCTGGAGTATGTCTGCTGATAGGGTCCCAGTTTACATACAAAATATTGACCCAGCACAGCCTAAAACCATGACTTCAGAGACTGTCTACAACTGCTTATCTGTAATCAATGAATAAAACTGTAGTTTAATTATACCAGTAGACAGTAGCTCCTTAGGTTTATACATATATGAACAAGAGTAGCTATCAGAAAAGCAGGGAGAGGAAGTTAATCAAGTGCTTTGTGTATATGATACCCAAAAGGAAAGAGTTGATCTTTTGTTTTGAAGTTTATTTTGGAATTTCCCAAACTTAGAGAAATTCCTTTTTCAAAAGGATTTGAAATTATTAGTACTGCCTTCCACAAGACACAGGCAGCCAGTGGCCCCTCTGATGTATGGAGAGATCGTGTGCTAAACTTCAGCTTCAGAGGGCACCTGAGGCTTCTCATCATGAAACGAAAGCCTGGTCCATCTTCTCGTTCTCCAGGGAAGTAGGACAGATCTTTATTTTCTTCTCCTGTACTGAAATCAGATCTGGGAAGTGCACAAAGTGTGACTGGAGAAGCTGCCTCACTAGGACACTGAGGAGGGACCCCCTAGGTGTTCATTCACTCACTGCTCTCTTCTCTCTCAGTAAATATTTATCAAAGCTGTATTATTTGTCCACACTTTTCTAGACAGTAAAAATATAGCAGGAAATCAAACCAAATAAAAGAAAACAAAGCAAAAGAATCCCAACTTTAATGAAAGTTACACCCTAGAGGGAAATAGACAGTAGGAAAACATACATGTATAGTATCTATCATGTCAGGGAAACAAAGGATAAACTGAGATGTAGTTGTATAAGAGTGAAGGGAGTGCTAAGGATGTCATAGGACAGTAAAAGTGTAGCTGAGGGCTTCTTGGAACAGTCAGGGATGGCTTCCCTTCTTTCAACACTGCGGAAAGACCTGAAGGAGGGGAGGAGCAAGCTGCACTGACACCTGTCAGAAAGGCACTTTAGGGAGAGGTCACAGCAAAGTGAGGCAGCCTGAAGACCAGGGAGTGTGTGGAGTGCATGAAGAAGGGTGAGCGTGGTGACCGAAGAGCAAGCCAGGAAGAGTCGGAGAGTGGTGGCCAGGGTGGGGAAGCACCAGCAAGGAGGCAGGGCCAGACTGTGGGGCCTCTGGCATTGGTCCTAAGTTTAACTCTTATTCTACCTGAGTTAGCCTCTAGGGAACTCAGACAAAAAAAAATGGCATGATTTCACTTATAATTTTAAATTGTAACTGTTATTTTGTAGTAGGGAATAAATTGCAGAGCCAAGCAGAGAGGGGGAACAAAGAATAATATGAGATTTCTAAAATAACACAGAAAGGGGTAGTTCAGTGGCAGAGCCCTCACTTTGCGTGAGAGAGGCTCTAGGTTGAATCCCCAGCATTGCACAAAAAATTCAGGCAAGAAATTTTATGAGAATGAATCCAATTCTGGCCCAGTTCTGAGCCTATTTTAAAAAACTCTTATTACTACATATTTGCAATACATGATGATTATATTCCTTATGAGGAGCTGGTACATGTATATGACATGTCTTAATTTTGTTATGTCCCTGTCCCCCCCTTCCCTCTTCCTGCATCCCTTAGGCCCCTTCTGATTCTGGGCCTATTGGGAAGGTAAAGAAGATTGCTGAAGATCAAAGGGAGGAATGAAAAGCAGATAGGAGCTAGGGTCTCTTCCTCAAGACCACTTCCTTGAAGGACTGTCCACCAGCTGCCTTCACCTCATCAATCATGGCGGCTGACATGTTCCAGGTTTTCCATGGAAGAATCTGTGTTCTGATGTCTATGACTACAGATTTGCTGTCTTATATAACACAACTTTTCTACAACCTTTTCTGTAGCTAATAAAAAAGTGATTATAGTGCTAATAAGGATTTACTGGGTTTTTACTGTATACTAAACACCATGACAAGAAATTTACATAACTTATGATAATTATCATTGCTTGAGGCTTCATCAATCCCATCCTATGCTCTTCCTTTGGGCCTATGCTTCTGTGGGCCTATGCTTTGGATTACCTCTTATTCATTGTTTACTTCCAAATTTTGGTGCCTAACCTAGATCTGTCTTCTGAGGCATAGACTTTTTTATTTATCTAATTCATCAATACAATTGTATATTTTTATATGGTACATATTTCTATTCTGTTATAAAATGTTTACAAAATGTTAAAAGCTAGCTATTATTCTTGATGTGACCTATTTTTCCTGCCCCTATATAAAAATCTACCACAAAGTTCTTATACTCTATCTACAAAATATTTCTCAACCTTGTTCACTTTCTGCCCATTTTCATTACCACTGTTTGGGCCCTGCCTCTACATGCAAGATGTTGAGATACAGAACCCCAACTCATTTTCTGATATCCCTCTATGCTCAGTGGTCAGACCCTTTGGGGACCACCATCACCGAAGGATTATGTCAAAGGGGCTCCCTTTCTCCTTCTTAGAATAGCTGCACCCAGTGGCTGATAAACATGAGGTTCAAAGTCCCACCTCTTCACCTGTCTCAACTCTGAGGGGTCATCCATGCTTCAGAACATCTCTAGTGTAGGCTGAGATCTCCCCACCTGACCCCATTCCATTCCTCCCACAGGCTTTGATCCCCAGAACACTGGGTCATCATCACTCTCCTGCCTGCTGATTTCCTCAGGGTAGGTGGCCTTGGGAGCCAGCCTGTGACACTTTGTACTTTCTCACCTGGACTAAGATGAAATCTCCTTCCTGGAATTCCTACCCAGCATTCTCTACATAGCACCCAGAGTACTATCCCACTAAGCCCTCAGATCACTCTGTCCATTTCCCTTAGGATTAGCCCAGTATCTTCACGGGACCTTTCTGGTGTGGTCTCTGACTATATCTGAACATCCCATTTTGTTACTTCTTATGCCTTCAGATTCCTTGAATACACCACATTGATTCCTACTGTGAGACTTTGTACATATATTTTCCTTTTTCTAAAATGGTCTTCCATACATTTTAATCTCAACTAAGCAATTCCACATCACTTGTAAACTTTGAATTGAAAGCTACTTGTTCAGACAGGCTTACCTGAGTTTGCCAACATACTCTTTACTGTTCTCTACCAACAGTAATTGTAGCTTGCAAGCACACATTTATTTTTGTGATTACTCATTTAAATTTTCTGTCTGTGCAGGGATGGGTACTACTTTTGTCATGAATGTGTCCAAAGCTCCTTGATCACTTCATAGAGTGATTTTTATTGTAATGATATATAACAATATATGAGATTTTAATTCTTATAACAACTCACGGCAAAGAAAGCATAGCAGTCCTCATGTTAAAAATAAGAGACCCAGGCACAATGGTACACTCCTGTCATCCTAACTACTGGGAGAGAGGTAAAGTTAGGTGTATCACCTGAGCCCAGGAGTTCCAGGTCTGCCTGGGCAATACAGACCTTGTCTTAGACAAAAAGTGAAGCAAAAATACAAAGCAATCTACTCAGTGTAGTAAGTAGAATAATGAACATCTAAAATATCTATGTTTTAATCCTTGGAACCCATAAGTATAGATGAAAGGAACCTTATATGGAAAAAGGTGTAAATAAATTAAGGATCTTGAGATGTGGTGATTTATCCTGGGTTACCAGAGTTGGAATAGGTAATCACAGGAGTCCTTGTCAGAGGGAGACAGAGCATCAGAGAAGACAGAAAATGCTGCACTGCTGGCTCTGAAGATGGTAGAGAGGTCACGAGCCAAGGCTCACATGAACCTCCGACAGCTGAAAAATGCAAGGAAATAGATGCTCCCTTAGGTCCTCCATAAGGATTATTCTCCTAGACTTCTGTTAGACTTCTGGCTTTCTAAACCACAAGGCAATAGCTGTCTTTTACTGAGGCACTAAATTTTTGGCAATTTGTTGTAGCAGCAATGAAACACTAATATACTCCCCAAGTCCTTCGGCTATAAGAGAGCTTGAGCCCAGAGCTAACTGATGACGCAGGAGCTCATGATCTAAAACCTTCTGCTTGGATGCTTTCAAATCAGGTGCAAGCTCTGTGAAGTGTGAATACCATTTCTACATGACACTGAGCTTCCCTCCTGCAGTACTGCTGAAAGCACTGAGATGAACTGGAGAGATTAAGGAGTTTCGACGTTGTGTAGAGGACAAGACCATACACAGGGGAACAATGTGGGTTTTTGTTTCCCAGAAATGTGACAGGTTGTGTGACAGGTTTTAATCTGCTGATGCTCCCTGCCAAAGGTAATGTTGGTGTGTTTGGAAACCCTTTTACCACGCTCTTTCCTTTCTTTGCGCAAATATTTTCAGCAACAAGATCTGAAAGTTCACACAAGGATTAATATGCTGCACCTGGATGCCTTACAGAACTTTGCTCTCTGCAGTGAAGACAGGAAATGATGAAGGCAATTTTGAAAAAGCAGTTCTTTGGCTAGTTTATTTCTTTCTGGACATCTAGCTTTCCAGTGTTTGTTCATCACATGAAGAGACTGAACATTTGTCAGCAATAAATGGGCTCCATCAGTTTGTGTTCCATGAAGAGACTTGAGA